AACATGCTGCCTTCCAGTGGGCCTGCCTTCCCCACCCCGATCTGCCAGTGCCCACATCACTTGTCCCTGACCAGCAGCTCTTCACAGACCCGGAGTCCAGTCAGTGAGGTTTGCCCCGCGAGTCCCTTCATGCCTGAGAGCCCTGATGTCCCGGGCTGGGCCTGTGGAACCAGTCAGCACCAAGCCTCAGGCAGGACCCAGGCCACAGCTGGCAGGTCATAAATAACTCACAGGCTCCTCTCTGCTAGCATCTCCAGGCTTCTCTGATAGGGGGCGAGATGGGAGCCATGAAGGGCAGATTCTGCAAAAGCTGCACATTTAGGTCCTTTCAGGAGAGTCCAGAGGGAACCAGTTGCAGCTCAAAGGTGGGCTCTGGAAATGCTGAACTCTTTCTATTCAAGAAAACGGCTCAGAGCCTCCTGGCTTCAAAAGTGGCATCAGGAAATGGCAGGGCAGTTGGCAATCTAAACAAGAAAAAAAAACAACAAGGAAGAAAGAGCAGATCTCAGAAACACTTTTATACATAAACAGAGCTCTCCTGCTTAGGTTCTCTAGGTTACATCTATTTTTTATTAGTCTCTGAGGTCCCAACTCTGGACAATTTTGACAAGTCAAAGGTTTACAAAAATCAGAGCGGGTGACACATCAAACCATTAAGTAACCTTCCCTCTCCGACAGAGAACTTTGCCTATACCATAAGAAAGGAAAGTTATTTTAGAATTGATTAGAAGGATGTGTGTGGGACATCCAGATGGGGTTATTTAGTTTCAGATTACCCCAATTACCAAATAGGCCAATTCAGTTTTTTTACAGCTTTATTGGGGTATAATTGACAAATAGAAATTATATATATTTAAGGGGTACAATTCAATGTTTTGGTATATGTATACCTTGTGAAATGACTACCACAAACTATTTAAAATATCCATTACCTTACATAGTCACTATTGTGTGTGTGTGTGTGTGTGTGTGTGTGTGTACATAACTAAGATCTACCCTCTTAGCAAATTTCAAGTATACAATACAGCAGTAACTATATGTTATAGTCACTATAACTGTAATAATACAGTAATAACTGTACCTATAGTCACTATGCTATACCATAGACCTCCAGGACTTACTCAACATGCATAACTGAAAGTTTGTACCCTTTGACCAATATCTCCCCAGCTCCCCCATCCCCTAGTCCCTGGTAACCACCATTTTCCTCTCTGCATCTATGAGTGTGACTTTTTAGATTCCACATATAAGTGAGATCATACTGTATTTGTCTTTCTGTGTCTGGCTTATTTCACTAAGCATGATGTCCTCCAGGTTCACCCGTATTGTCGTGAATGCCCGGATTTCCTTATTTTTTAAGGTTGAATAATATTCCACCGTGTATGTCACATGGCGTCTTCTTTATCCAGTCCCCCGTGGGCAGACACTTAGCTTCTGGTCATTGTGAGTAGTGATGCAATGACTATGGGACTGCAGATATCTCTCCGAGATCCTGGTTTCATTTCCTTTGGGTGTATACCCAGAAGTGGGATTTCTGGATCCTATGGTAGTTCTATTTTTAGTTTTTGAGAAACCTTCCTACTGTTTTCCATAACAGCTGTACCAAATGATATTCTCACCAACACTGTACAAGGGTCCCCTTTTTGCCACATCCTCACCGACGCTTATCTTTTGTCCGTTTGATGACAGCCATGATGACAGGTGTGAAGTGATAGCGCATTGTGGTTTTGATGCATTTCCCTGGTGATTAGAGATGGTATAAGCCCGTTTAATTAAAAATGTCCACCAGGAGACTTGAATAATCTGGTGGGTCATTTTGTGTCATGATTGGGGTTGGGAGGGACAGTCTCTCCTGGGGTGCCATGGGGCCTTGTCCCTTCCGATGCTGTTATCAACAACTCGGGGAGATGGTAGGAAATTCAGAAAAACACCAACCATTTATGGAGCTCCTCCATGGCCTCCCACCACAGGCACAATCTCTAATCCTGACAATATCCCCTTTTACAGGCGAGGGACCTGCTTTAAAGGAGCTAAGTCATAAAAAGAGTGTATCAGTTTCATTTGCAGCTGGCACAAAGCTGGGAGGCAAATTAAACCTAAATCAATGGCATATTCTAGATCCACAGAAATCCAGACAAGCAGGGAACAGGCTGAGTCTAATGAGATGAAGCCTACTGGGCGTGGTTGTGTGTTTCTGCACTTGGGTTCAAAAACATAAGCACATAAATAGAGGATGGGGGAAATTCGAGAAGAAAAGGCCTGGGGCTGCACATGATGAGTCACCAGTGTTATATGTCTGCAGAGAGGCTGGTGCAATTATGGTCTGCAGGAGCAGCAGACAGACTGCGGCTCCAGGAGGTAGAAGGTGGTGGTTGCTCTGTGATGAGAGGCTCACACCTGGGGATCTGGGTTCAGTTCTAGGATCTGAACACTCCAAGGTGGACAACAGCCAGGTGGGACGATCTGGGAGTCAGCCACCTGGAGGTAGAGGCACTTAAAATCCAGGCATGCCCAGCCAGCATGGCTCAGTGGTTGAGCATCGACCTGTGATCTGGAAGATCGCAGTTCAATTCCCGGTCAGGGCACATGCCCAAGTTGTGGGCTTGATCCCCAGTAGGGGACGTGTAGGAGGCCTCACTGATGTTTCTATCTCTCTCTCTCCCTCTCCCTTCCTCTCTCTGAAATCAATAAAGATATATATTTTTTAAAAATCAGGCATAAGTAGGAATGCTAAAGGCACTGACCATGTTTAGAATGGGATAGGAAAGGCAGAGAGGAAGTATCATCACATTGGTTGTCTTATACTCTCCAGGGAACATGAGGGATATAAGGACTCATTGTACATGGCCTATGAGAGTATGAAATCAGGACTCATGTACAGAAGGGGATACGATTTCATACTAAACAGAAAAACACAAAGCTTTGCTGACAACCTCAAGAACTGTGGGGAGATAGATGGACAGGGTGTAAGGTAAAATTGAGAGGTAGTGAGCACCCTGTCACTGGAAGCAATCAAGCACATGCTGCTGGGACCATGCTTGGACTTTTGCAGCTGCTAAGCACTTTGGTTTCTGTGGACTCATTCTTCCATAAACGTTTAATTATACTATATGACTATGTTGGTATAATGACAGATATAACCGATGCTACAATATATTCATTTCTTTTCCTCTAATTTTAAAAGAAATGTAAATGTTTTTCTGGGTCCCAAACAGAATCATGGGTCCTAGGCACGGTATCTGCTGGGCCTAGTAAAATCGATCCTGCGTGCTGTCAACTCACATGCCAGGATGTTGTAAAAAATATTCTCATCATTGTTTGGAAGGAGAGTGTTAAGGTAAGAGCTTTAAACTGCCCCCAGTCTGAAACTCTTTTAGATAAATTCTGCAAATGGAGAGAGGAGCCCCAAATCATGTTTTGAGGTTGTTAAGGTGGATGTGTCGTAGGGAACCCAAGTAAAAGAACTGTGTGTATGAAGTGACTTCATCCTGTAAACTGTATACGCGTGAACCCCAATTATTATAGATGGAGACAACTGTGAGCAGGATTAAAGGACTGGGGTGAAGATGAGAAATATTAGTTCTTTTGTTTGACAGCCTCCTATTTCTGTCTTGTTCAAATGTTTAACAGGCAGCATCTATCACCTTTATAAAAACACTAAATAGAAACATCAGCAAAGGTCTATACATGTGACTTTAGTTTTTATTGTGAGGAGGGTTGTGTAGCCCAATTCTCCGGCCTCTGTCTGATCGGGAGGGTGTCACTGGGCATATCTGGTGTGTTCAACGAACAGAGCAGCTCCTGAGAAAGCTCAGCAAAACCCATTATGCAACCAAGAGCTAAGATACAAAACAGGGCCACAAGGGGTCCCTTCCCTCAGGCCCCAGGCAAACTCATCCAGAAGCACCCAGATTCAATAATCCTCTGCATCCACACACTCCTCCTGGTAATCCACACAAGTGTTTAAGTTTGCTCTGTGTTTGCTGAAACTCCAGGTTCCGTTTCCCAGGTGGAATGGCTGCTAAATGCCTCTGGAGCAGGCCCCGCCAATCACCCCATCCCCGGGGTGACCCGAACCTTCAGAGCTGGCACCGCCCACAGCCTGTCCTCTGAGTTATCCTGCATAAAACACGCAGCCGGAATAAACGCCGCCCCAATACCAGGCCCCTCTTCTTACCCCTGCTTTCTTTTTTAATCGGCTCTGATTTCAGCACAATAAAAACCTTTGAAGGGTTGAATGCTTTCGAGACGAATTCCCTCATGGGTGTAGGCTGTGAATTGGATCGAGATGGTTGACGGTGGAGCAGCAGATCACAAGCAGTCTCCGAGGGAAGGGAAAGAGAGCTCGAAGGAGACGGCTTTGCCCTCAAAAAGGGAGCAAGGCGAAAGGGGCGGCCGTGGGGATCTGTGGGTTAGGCACGGCCGGAGTGGGGACAGAGGCCTCGGCTCTTTGTCTTTCCACCTATTGCCCTAAAGCCAGTAGACGTCCTTGTGTTCAAGTGCTCGGATTGGCACGAAACTATTAATCACCTCCCGTCTGCGGGGCCAGATTGGGTGTCCTTGTCAGGTGATGAACGGGAAGGGAACTGAGCAAATTTTGGGAGACCTGCCCGGGAATTCTCACTTGAGAAAACATCTGGGTTTGTCACATCTCTCGTGCAAAACAGACGAGTGCTGTATTGAATAATGTGTATTGTGCTCTACGGCGGAACTCTGGGGAGACCGAAACAAAGGGCAAACAAACAAAATCAACATAAAAGGAACAGTCCCCAAACTAAGTCATATGACTCACCTGCTACCACGGTCCTTTCGGAAGGTATAGAGGAGAAGTTAGAGGATTGTTGTTTTTCAGGATCCACAGTCCATGTCGAGACCATGCAGTAATCAATCTAAACACTGGATGCAGAGCCTAGGCCCTTCTTCAGCACTGGCCCCAGCCCACCCTGGGCAGACACCCCCATCTGAGTAACACCCCCTTGAAAGAAACCCACCAAGCTTACTTATCTGTATTTTGCCTCCTTCTCAAGATGACTCTCCCCTCCCCTTGCAGCCTCGTTTCGCCGAAATCAGATGTGAGTTGTTCTCTAACGGCACGGGAACATCAGAATTTATTGTACATATGTTTGCGTTCCACTTAATAAAAAAACCTATATTTTAAGTTAAACTTTGTTAGTAATTCATGAGGTAAGTGACTATTTATGCTAATCAGGCAGAAATATATTCTCAAGCATAATGCATTACATAAATTTGAATGCAAAATGTTCAATTATGAAGTAAATACAGGTAATGCAAATAATAAATTACCTCCAATAAAAATTATAAAAGATGTGTCTTCAAAGGGAGAGCGGCTTTAACTTACAACGGTGAATCGCTTAAAGAGAAAGAAATTAATAAATGCTGAATTACTCTGATGATTATTTAGCACATAATTCACCTATTCATAACGACTCCTAGTAATCAGGCTGCCGTTTCACATTCTCCAATACTATGCAAGGCTGTTTCCTCAGTGATGTTGCCCTTATCAGATTATCTTGTCTGATTCTATTCATTTTCTTCCATGAATCTGCTAACAGTGATTTGTGATTTACTTACCCTGCTAACTAAAGACTGTTAAAAGGATGCATCCAAACGCTAGACCTAAGAACGGCCTATGCCTTACCATTCTTACTTTTCTCAAATCACTGTAGTTGGCTTCACAGTGAAACTGAGTGGACTCTGGTTAGTTCTGTGCTGTAAAATCAGCTCCCGGAGAAACAAACAGGCACTGCACTTGATCCGGTTTGCTCTTTTCAGCTTATCTATGTCTGATTCCAACGTGATATATCTGAGTAGCTGTACCTCACCATCAGGAAAAAATATACATACTTTTTTTTTTTTTTTTAACTCGTAATCATTGCAATTTGGACTCCAACAGGATTTTTCTTCCTTTTGCGTGAAGTTGTTGTGTATGTACTGACATGAAACTACAGTTGTGTTTTGGATGATACGGTTTCGCAATCTTCTGCATGATTCGACTCATGCCCTCCTCCCTCCCAAAACTCTTCTATAAATATTCACAGCTTTCAGAAACTTTAATGCTACTGGTTTGAATTGGTCAATAATGACAAACGCATGGTTTCGAAATTACTCTATATTGTTCTACAGAGATTACTAGCGTATTATATATAGCAAGGGGATATTAAGCAGTGCGAAAACACGGTTCGTATTGTATTTGGATTAGATGGGCTTGGAGACAAGCGAAACAAACAATGTGAGCAAAGAAGTCTAAAGGAATGTGGCCTGCTGTAATTGTACAGAATCAAAAACCTGAATAGTCCTAATTAAAATGAGAGAGCTCAATTGTTGTGAAAGAAACGCCACTAACGGAGAACTGTAAATGTTTAGACACCCCTGTGAATCACTAAATAATAAAGTAAAAAAGACAAAAATGAGAATTTAGTTCTAAGCCTGAGAGTTTACTGCTATACATCTAAAAAAAAATAATAATTCTGATCCTCTCTTTTTTACAAGAGAAAATGGGAGACTGTAAAAGACTCTGCAATAAGAGAAAGAAAAATACCATGCCTTGACAGCAGTGTACAAAAATAAACCATAAAAAAGTACAGATAATAATACATTTAGCTGCCCAAACATGGGCATTTAATCTCTAGAAATGATATATAATTGCAACAATTAGGTGCACGGCCATGAATCTACATCACATGGTCTTCGTCATGAGCGAACTTTGTTTATAAATGTTGTTTATGAATGCAGAAGTTCCAGTGTTCCTGGCCAAAAACACTTTCATGAGAGGCAAGGATCATTTCTTACAGCTTTTAACAAAAATGTGATGCCAAAGCATAAAAAAAAAAAATTATCACAAACCAAAAAAAAAAAATCAATTCTTCCTAACTACATTTAAATGCATGTTGTACATGAAAAACTATGAACTTCAGACATTTGTGGCTAATGATTGAAGGGGAGGAAAAAGCCTAGAAAACTATTGCTATGAACAATGCTAAGTGACATTATATGTTTATGTAGTTTAAGATTTTCCTCTAAATAAATAAGCTACAATCCCTTAACTTCATTACTAGGTAACATACTGTTTGTGAGGTGGAAAGCAAAGGAATTCTGTTAGGTTGCGTAAATATTGACATAACCGTCACTCTTTCTTCTCCAAACTGGTAATAGACATAGTTCATTCCATCCCTACAAAGTATTCCCATAAAACCAAAACTACCCTTATAAACAGCTTCGCTGAAGTAATGATGAAAAGAAAAGGTGCTTTTCTGGAAAATACCAACAGCGCTGCTGGCTTTTGAGGATTATGATGTGCCTACAAACCTTTTTTGGCGGGGGGAGTCTCTCATTACGGACTCCGAGGTCCGCTGAAACTGAAGGCTGCCAGCATCAGAGAAATTAACACAAGTCTAATCTGGTGTCTGAAGCCAGTGAGTGACACCTAAGGTCTCGTTATAAATAGTAAAGTATGCTGCGGGGTGGGTGAGAGCCTGCTAAAGTGCAACGTTCAAGAAGTAGGCTTAATATATGACTAAGTGTCAGAAGTCAGGTTTTCTGAGAATTACTTTTCAGATAAACAACTTTATAGCGCCGCACTTAATCTTACTTACTAGAGACATCTCATTTATCACTGAATTACAAGTAACTTTAATTCTATTGATATTGCCATAAAGCCCTCTGGAAATCCATCCTGGCACTTTTAAAGGGCTTGGGGCCCTGTTACATGGGATCCACTTGCTAAAGTCTCTCAGCCAGAATTATACTCCCAAAGGCTTCTGTGTCCCCTGTCCCCTTCGTGAACAATCAAGGGGGACAGTGGGGGGGGGAAATGACTCCCACAGCTGCCCGCACTGTCTTCAGCCCCTTACCTACAAGGTCGGGATCTCCCACTGCGGTCAAAATAACTTTCTGTGCCTCTTTCCACCTCCCACCTTTGGGAAACCAGCTTCTTTTCAAAAGCTCAACAAAACTGGACGCGGATCCATTTCAACTGACCTTTGCCGAAAGGTGGCGCTGTTGAGGTAAAAACCAACTGGGTCCAACAATAGTTTACACTCCTCGCTCCTTTAGCAGCAGGCTTTTCAGATTTTTTTTTCCCCTTAATGCACCCTCCTAGCGTCTCCCCCTCCCAAAAAGTAAAAAAAAAAATCATAAAAAAAAAATCATTAACACCAAATGCATTTCATTAATTGGAGGAATCCACAGTCCCAACATCCAAGCCGGCGGGCTGGTCGTCCAAACGCTGGGTCCGCTCGCGCGCTCTTACTTTCCCCCAAAGAGTAAATCTCGGCTTCTCCGACTTGCCTATCGCTTTAAAATCTTAGAAACAAAGTTGCTGGTTCTTTCTCTTTTCTTTCCTTTTTCTTCTTTCTTCTTGCACGAGCTGGAAAAGAATCGATCAAGAAAATTGAACAGTTATTAGCATCTGCCGCGGGGAGGGGGAGAAGCGGCTCCCCCATCCCACCCCACCCCCACGCTGGGTTTCCGGGCTGGTCGGAGAAACGGCGGTTTAAAATTTAACCCTTCGAGGGGAGCTGGGGTGCTGTTCCCTCCCCC